TCTGCTCTGTTCTGTCTTAGGGCCGTATATTTACCACAGGTACAGCCTGCTCTGAGCATCGTTATGCACATGCTGCACACAGACCACGCAAATAAAACGCGTGACGTTTAAAGCATGCGTGCAGCGCGTGCATAACAGTCCTGAGCGCAAGCTGTACCGGTGGTCAGTAAGAATAAAGCGCAGATATGCTGTTCTAAATGGACGTCGGGAACGGGATATTGTTAGACCGCCAGCTCCCGTTCAAATTACACCAGAGTTACCGACCGCTACCGCGATTTATTTGGGAATTTAATCCCGTGGTGAAAAAAATCCTGTCGGGTCCGCGGCCGCGAGACTGCAGACCGCTAATTTATACCCAATATACACTATAAGCAAGAAATGTGACAAACCTAGAATACCACTTTTCAAATCAACAAAGCATAGTAAATTAAAAGGATTTATTCTGCAGTGTGGACAGCTTTGTTTATAATAATAGGAGCATTTGCATGTGTTAGAATCCAGAGCTCACACTGAACTGTAGCGCTCAAAATGTTGTGATTATAATCGGAGTGTATTGTGGCTTTGGTTGTTTTCTGTGTATAATTTACTTAAAAAAAAATAAAAAAATAAAAATGTAAATAAAAGTTTTGTTTTTGATGCTGCTTTAAAGGCCAATGTGAAGTTCACCATTTTAGACCGCCCGCTCCCGTTCAAATTACACCAGAGTTACCGACCGCTACCGCGTTTTATTCGGGAATTTAATCCCGCGGCGCAAAAAATCCGGTCGGTTCCCACGGGAGAGCCGCGGGAATGCAGACCTCTGCTACACACCTTATCATGTTTTTAGCATAGCAACATGCTAATGTCAAACTCCATTTGAATCCGTTGCGTCTAGGGCTATTTGCCGGTCCTTAAAGCTGCTGCTTCATAAGTCAGTGACTTTTAAGGTTACATATCAGTTTTGGAACAGAGCACATGTTCTACCATCCACACATATTCTATCCTGAAATATAAACCCTTTTTTAAATGGGTGCTGGTTTTTTATTGTGATGGACAGATTGACATGGCTATTCGAAGCATGAACGGTTTAGACGTTTTAATAGCTGAAGGCTGACTGCTCATTCAGTCATTCAGTGTCTTTCTGTCCACCTACGAAACCGTCCTTCTGGAGTTGCTAGACATGAATATTCCTCCAAATATACCTACTAATAGAGTCCATGTATGACAACAGCTGTCAGGCAGAGTATACATATATAACAAGCAGTCTGTCTGAAAGGACAAACTCGCCCAATCCATTTTTACCGATTCTTCCAATATTGCCTCACTTGACACTCAGAAGTAACGGCCAGATATGAAGATCTGTACAGTAGTACCCCCTCGATCCCTCAGTGGTAATAAGAGTCACAAGGAGATTGTTTAATAAATCTGAAATTAGCACAAATGCACTTTCTTTGCTTCTGTTATTTGACCTTCTGAGTGCACAGCTGTGTTATAAGGTTTTTATGTGCCACTAGAGAACGTTTCGGATGAGATCTCGACTCTTGTAATGATTTTGTAGGTTACCACTGTGTTGGATCCCACTGTGAAATCCCAGTTGTCAATTCAGGGAATGTGTGGAAAACTGTCAGTGGTAATGGATGATAATCATCATGTTTGGCTTTTGGTGGAAACATACGATCACTTTTGTCTTGCTGTCAAAATGCAATGTTTGTTTCTTCATCAGATTTGGAGAAATATAGCATTACATCACTTGTTCACCAATGGATGCTCTGCAGTGAATGGGTGCCGTCAGAATGAGAGTCCAAACAGCTGATAAAAAAATCACAATAATCCACAATCCACACCACTGTAGTCCATCAATTAATGACTTGAAAAGTGGAATGCCGTGTGTTTGTAAGAAACAATTCCACCTTTAATATGTTTATCTTTCGTTTTAACTTTCGCTTCTGTGCATATTTCTCTCCTGATTCAGGCAAGACAGCTTTTTTCAATGGAGAAAGCGTTCTTATGGATTACAAACGCACAAGTTAAAATTGTGTCAAAAACTTTGTTTCTTACAAAAATGCAGCTTTTCGCTTCACAAGATGTTAATTGATGGACTGGAGTGGTGTGGATTATTGTGATGCTTTTATCAGCTGTTTGGACTCTCATTCTGATGGCACCCATTCACTGCTGAGGATCCATTGGCGAGAAAATGATGCAATGTTACATTTATCCAAATCCTATACTGTAAAAAAACTAATTCATCTACATCTTGGATGGCATGAGACTGCATAAATTGTCAGCAAATTTTCATTTTTTGGTGAACTATGACTTAAAAAAAAAAGTGGTACATGATTTGATTTTATCTATTGGGAATGCAGTTAATTGAGTTTGCAGTTAATTGTTGAGAATTGCACCACTGGCACCTGTTGGTTAAAACTAATATTCCACTATTTCGCACCTGATACAAATGCATGATGTCATAAATTTTGGGCGGAGTCCGTGTCACCCTTTACAGAGGGTCTTCGAATTTTGTAGTATGCCACTGAGTGGAGAAAGTGTTCTTGAGCTCAGTGTGGACTGAGAAACTGTGCACGTAATACCAGGAATGCGCATTAAGAAAGTAAATTAGCCAACATTAAATAGCCAGCATGCAGAAAAGCCAAAGCACCACTAAACATGTAGACATACATGTTCTGTAATTAAACTCTCTCATAATTAGACCGCTGTGAACAGAATGTGATTAAGATAGATAATGTACTATTGCATGTGCCGCCTGCTGCTCTTTACATTACAATAATGTAAAGCTTGTTTGAGTGCTAATTGGGCCAATTTATTTCTTTATAAATACATGTTCATTCATTTCACTGATTTAAAAATGTATTCTTTAATTGCATTAATTAATTCATTCATTACAATGAATTTTTTTGCTGTTTTGTTAAATATGACAGTCTAGAGAAGACATGAAGGTAGTAGGATGGCTTGCTTTCAGAAATTAAGTTGAGTTTAAACTTCTGTCGTCTGCAGATAAGCACCAAAACACAACACATCAGAACAGGCACGACCCAGCAGGCCACGTTTGTATTTGTAATAATAAATACAGCAATCCTTCGACGTGCAGATGCTGAACAGATACTCTTTATTAGGTTTTTATAGGAAGAAACACTTCAGCCAGAACTGCGGTTTTGATTGTAACCATAAAAAAATATATTAAGCATCATTTAAATGCAGATCTCTATCAGCAAGCAACATAACAACATGTGCGTTACAATTTTAAACTATCACTGGGCCAATAAATATGCAATTTAAGAGCTCATGGTGGACTGAGGGAAACATTTGGGGCCTCAGCGGCAAATACAAACCTGATACTATCAAAAACTAAACTAACATGCAGCTCGATTTGCCCCGTTTCTCCATTAACCTGCAGACCAGAGGCATTGAAATTAGCCTCAATGCTCTTCGATTAGGAAAATATACGGTCAGCTGCTGATCATATCAACAAACAGTTTCTGTTCAGGAGAGATTACGACATTAATATGTCAGAAAGTGACTTTAAAGAGCCGTTATGGATGTTACCGGTGTGACAGCTAATAAACCCCACCTTTGCAATTTGTCCCATGAACGTCGTTGAGGTGTAAATCTCTTAATGCTCACTTTTATTAGCCCATGTGAGATTCGGGTTCATAAATGTGTTTGTGTGTTCGTTTTATGTCCACTTGGAGTGACACTGTAAATTTTCATAGACTAAAAGTTACATTTGCTTAGTAGACAACTCTATAATCTTTTATGTGATGAAGTGACCATCTTGTAAAATAAAGAAAATACATTAATATAGACACATTAACAATTATCAATTAAATATCAACAATATTGAGGATCAATGAGCATCAAGTAAAAACACCACACAACGCTACAAATAGCTAACAATGAATCAGCAAACAGCAAAACCAAAAATCTTGCATCAGTAATCACATAAATGATTCACATTCTAAAATCTAGGTTTGTTCAGACAACTTTGTTAGGCTAATTTACCTATGAAATTGTGACTAGATTATTTTTTAAATTTTCTAAATATGTGTTAATCTGAGCTGTTATTTTTTCAACTATGTTTTTCACAGTTTCTGTATTAATTTATTTTGTTACATTTAAACATTCAAAACATGCTTTGTTTTGCATTTTGTCTTTTTTGTAATTTTGCTTTGCTTTGTGTTTGTTGTTTTGCTTCATTTTTGTTTGTTTTTGCTTGTTTAGTTTTTTTGCTTTGATCTGCTTTTTGTTTTTATATTTGTTTCGTTTTTTGTTTTGTTATTTTGCTTTGTTTTGTGTTGTTGTGCCTTGCTTTTTTGCTTTTGTGTTTTTGTTTTGCATTGTTTTGCCTTGCTTTGTTTTGTTGTTTGTTTGTGTTGTTTTGCTTAGTTTTTTGTTTGTTTTTGCTTGTTTATTTTTTATTTTTTGCTTTGCTCTGCTTTTTGTTTTTATGTTTTTTATATTTGTTTTGCTTTTTGTTTTGTTATTTTGCTTTGTTTTGTGGGTTTTTTTTGTACTGTTTTGCCTTGCTTTGTTTTTTGTTTCGTTGTTTGTTTGTGTTGTTTTTTGTTTTTGTTTTTGTTTTGTTATTTTGCGTTGTTTTGCCTTGCTTGGGTTTTTTGTTTTGTTTTTCCTTTGTTTGTTTTTTTTTACAATACTTTTGTTTCTTTTGTACAAAATCATCTTGCTTCACACAGTGAAAAAGTGGGGCAGCAAATTAATTAAGAGAAATTTTCGAATGGTTGGAAGCTGCTAATTCATGTCCGCCTGTGGTCAGATGAGCACTTAACATCACACTCTGACACATCTGTCATGACGTGCTCCCACAGGCTCTTATAGACTAGTAGTGCTGAAAGAGAGAAACAGAAGAAACAGAGATAATTGAAAAGCATCTCATTACAAGTTCAGAGACGCAACTATTCTAGCTGATACAAGGCCAAATATACTGTAATATACAGTGTTACTGTGAGAACTCAAGCCACAGTTTTCACATCTCATTTGCTCTTGTACAGTCACAGGGACCTGAAGCCGGAGAACCTGTTGCTGGATGAGAAGAATAACATCAGGATAGCAGATTTCGGCATGGCATCCCTGCAGGTGGGAGACAGTCTGCTGGAAACCAGCTGTGGGTGAGTGAAACCGAGTGTCATTATAACACTAATGATCAGGACAGTCAATGCCTTCAGCTCAGACTGAAAATCTTTAGGTCTAAATTTAAGATTGATGTAAATGAGTTGCATATAAAATGTCCATCCATTTGGTTTACACAGTTTAACATAAACTATCTAATAAACTTAATATGATGCATATTTGTTAGGCATACATAGATGATACTGGTAAGATTTCTGTAATATTACTTATCAAGTAAATGTGTTTTTTAACTACTGTTTATACAGCATAAATTGGGTTATACTGTATATATATATTTATAATTTATCAAACCCATTTGTCTCAATCTCATTTAACTAATTAAATATTGCATGTTACACAGCTAGCCAAATTTAACATGTTCATACTTTTTAAATGCATAAATTTAATTGTTTTCACAATAAACAGATTTATATTGATTCAGTTCGAAGCAGTACATTGTGAAAATTCAAATAAAATCTAATTAATTAAACAGGAAAGATTTTTACTCTCAAAACATCATGTTTTGTTTTGCTTTGATCACAATACTTTGGTTTAAAAAATAAAATTAATAAAAATAAATGTAAAAAATTTAAAATAACAATAAAAATAAAATAAAAATAAGGCAGCAAATTAAGAGAATGTTTGCTGATTATAAGCAATTGGTATGCATGCATTTTATATATGATAATTTAAATAAAATCAAATAAATGCAATGGGAAATATTTCTGTAATCATGATTTTGTTTTATTCTGTAACTAATTTAATTTGCTGCAACACATTTTGTTAGTTTCTTTATGTTAAAACTCTGTAATTCAAATGGATGAAAAAATATGTGCAATTCAAATGCATAAATCTTAAATTTAGGCCTAAAATATCTATTTTCAATGTACTCCAGGGTTGCCTGTAAAGATGAATGAATGTAGAAAATGAAAGCACATCACGGCAGAGTCACAAATGCATTTGTTTTTGTGTCAGATGATATTATATATGGTGATTACACTTATTAGGGTCTTTCTAGATGTTTGTATTTTATTTTGTTCTCCTGAACTCCAGGTATATTGCTAGTTAAGCTTTCTTTGTTGTAATTTAGTTCTTTATAAGCATTTTCCATCCTCTCTCTGGCCAATATTAAACAGGTTTTTGCTACTGTACCTTTAAGACTTCAATAAATGAATCATGTCTCTTATGATTGGCTTTTTTATGATTGGTCTGTTATAAAAATATCCTGTTTTTCATCATTATAAATGTACATCTTTAACTCATAAAACTGTCACAGTGTGCATCACATATCAGCTGCTTATTTTGCTTCATCTAAATTGTGAACTGTCAGAAGTTACTAATTAGGCAGATCTCATGAAAACTGTCCAGAAATATCTGCTACATATTTCATCACAAAATCAACTAATAAATTATATATTTTTTATATAGATTTTTCAGTATTTTCAAAAGAAGTCTCTTCTGCTCACCAAGGCTGCATTTATTTGAAGAAGAAAAAAAAACAGTATTTTGAAATATTATTGTGATTTAACATAGCTGTTTTCTATTTGAATATGTAAAATGTAATTTATTGCTGCGATCAAAGCTGAATTTTCAGCATCATTACTCCAGTCTTCAGTGTCACATGATCGTCAGAAATCAGTCTAATATGCTGATTTGCTGCTCAAGAAACATTAATTATTATTATCAATGATAAAAACAGCTGTGCTGCTTTATGTCTTTGTGGAAATCACAATCATTTATTTCAGGATTCTTTGATGAATAGAAAGCAGTGTTATTACAGTATAGTTGACTAAAACTAATACCATAAAAAAAAACTATTAAAATAGTTAAACAAAATGAACTTTGCCTATATATATATATATATATATACTGAATAGAAAATTAATGTATAGAACATTTTTCAAAATGATAATGTCAAAAACACACAACAAAATTAGTAATTTTTATGTATATTAAAATGAAAAATATGCAAATAAAAAGTACTTCAAAATATTAATAAAAATGATAGTAAAATTTCTATATCTCATACTAAATAAAATTGATAGAGAGTCCAAAAGAACGTAATTTATTTGAAAAAGAAATATAATTTAAAAGTCTATAATTTATAGACTTATTATATAATTTATATAATAAAGCTGTAAAAGTCTATAATTTAAAGTAGAAAAAATGCATTAATCATTCTAAATCAAATTTTAAAAACTCTTTGCGTTGCTTTTGTTCATAAATGTCCAGTTGAGTTTAAAAAATGTGCACTTTAATGGGAAGTCCATCATGTGGAAGCAGCCAATGAACTTTGAGCTGAATTGTATGACCCGCCCCCTCTGCTCTGACATCATCAGTGTGATAAGTCTTTTCTTCTCGTTTCATCGAGGCCTGGGCTGGAGCGATACGAGCACGACTCATTTATTGCCCTTCATTTCTTTCTTAATATCATTATTTCTCCTTTCAATAACTGACTTCGCCCCCCACATATGCCACAAAGCCTCGTGTCTTTCTTCAGTAGATTAATTTTGCAGTGTTCCTTCACCTGACCTTTAGGATTACCGCCAGCCGTGGCCATAGATTAAAGCTGAATGCAGGGAAATCAGCGAGGCAGAGTCACCTCACGTTATATAATGAGCGCTCCGCTGACCGTCCTGTTCGCTCACCGCGGGTCAGTCTCCTCGCAGCGGCGTGACTCAACATCTCCTATCGGGATGAATCTGTGAATCTCCCATCAGATCCGAAGCAGATCTGGGCTGATTCTGAACCCAGTGTCCTTGATGTTTTACAGTGACCCCACAACTCATGAAAGGGTTTATTTTGTGACAGTGTCTGGCTGACTGTACATTCAGTTTCTTATGTCTGTACATCACACAGATTACTTGATACTTACACAGATATAAATGCATACATGTATTCACTTTTATGCAAAAGCAAAGCACCCATAGGGAGAGACAGATGTTTGAATTAATTAATTAATTAATTAATTTATTTATTTATTTATTTATTTATTTATTTATTTTATTTATTTATTTATTTATTTTGTTTATTTTTAATTTGCTCATTTAATAATTGTTTATTCAAACATTCATTATTTAAATAAAACATTTATTTGTTTTTTATTATATTTTGGGGTGATTTATGTGTAGTGTTAGTTTTATTTATTTGTTCATTTAAAAACATTTGTTCATTCATTTTATTATTTATTCACTTCATTCATTCATTCATTAAAAAATCATCTATTTATTCAATCCTTCACTCTTTTAAAAATATTTTGTTTTATTTACTTGTTTTATTTATTCATTAATGTATTCATTGTTAAAAATTTGCATTCCTTTCATTAATTTTCATTAATTCATTCATTATTTGTAAAAATATTTGTTCATTCATTTTGTTTGTTTGTTTGTTTGTTAATTCAGTCATTCATTTATTTATTTGAAACATTTTTATTTATTTTTCAGAATTCATTAAAATATTTGTTCATTCATTTTATTTGTTTGTTATTTTAATAGTTTCTTTATTCATTTGAAACATTTTTATTTATTTATTCAGACTTCATTAAAATTATTTGTTCATTCATTTTATTTTTATTCATTTATTAATTCATTCGTTTGTTTATTCATTCACACATTTTAAAACTCAAATCATTCATTTTATTTATCAATTCATTAGTTCATTTGTTCGTTCGTTCATTCATTCATTCATTTATTCGTACATTTGTTCATTCGTTCATTCATTCATTTGTTCATTCATCCATGCAATTAAAAACTCATAAAGCTTTTTTATCCATTTATTTATTAATTAATTTGTCCATTCATTCATTTAAAAATGTTTTATTCATTTTTAAAATTCATTCTTTTAAAAACATTCATTCATTCATTCATATTTTTAAAAAAGGTCATTCATTTTATTTGTTTATTAATTAATTAATTTAGAAAGTTTATTCATTCATTCTTTCATTCATTTAAATTCCAATACCAAAATTCTGAATTTTTTTTATTTGTTTTTATAAATGTATTAATTTGTTCATTCATTTAAAAAATATTTGATATTTATGATTTGATATTTATTTAATCACTGATTCTTACAAAAAAAACATTTGTTCATTCATTCATTTGTATATTCAGTTATATAAAATGAATAAATAAGCACCTTTTTATGCAAATGGTCATGTAGATACACTCAGGGTTTGACAGAGAGTGACTGTGTAACGACAAAACCTGAAACAGCCACACTTTGGCTCGGAGTCTGACCTACACTCTCGAAATAATACAGGCTTTATTGCTTCAGAGCTTCATGGAGGCCTTCCGCTGGAGTTTATGGTGTTTATTGTCATGTCCCTATTACCACGCACTGTTTTGGCTTAATGATCATTGTACATCGTACCAAAAAGAGACGTTTGAACTCATATGTCTGATGGTTCACACACCCACATCAGTAATGAGTCATCTCATATCTGCCTGTCATTGGTTGATGAGTTTTGCAGAAATGAGCGAGCAAATGAGCTTTAGCAAACATCTTGGAGTAGATAAATGATCTGGCACCACGCGCTGCAGGGGTCCTCCATAAACTCATCCCTTAATGGCTGTATTTTTATCTCTAACTTGCCTTCCTCATCAACATAAACAATGAAAACATCCGATTCGTTCTGATGCCTGCGATTTAACGCACCTGCTGTGGAGGAAAACACTGAAATGCTGCGATCGTTACGCTTCAGAATCGTAATAAGCAAAAGTCCCGTCGAGGCTAATGTGTTGAGGGCAATGATTTTTGAGTTTGAGTCTTTTTAGAGTTTGACGTTTACTGAACAGATTCAGCAATGTTTTATTATAAAACGCATAATGGCAGATGCATGTTAGAATCAATAAATTCACCAGTCCAAGAACCGACTTATGAATTATGAAAAACACTTTTGTGATGCATATTTGTAGAGTATTCTGGAAGATGCCATGTGCTTTGGCAACTCTATCTGAGATAAAGTCAGAATTATTACACCATTCTACTTTTTCTCTCGGAGTTGTCCATAAATATGAAAGCTTATAATAATAATAATAATAATAATAAGTTTATTTTATATAGTGCCTTTCTGCAAACTCAAAATGATTTCTGCCACGGGATAAAAAAATTTAAAAATAAAGTAATTGCAACTTTTTATCTCACAATTATAATTTTATATATTTATTTTTAAATCAGAATTCTGAAATTTTTCTCAAATTCTCACAATTTCAAGATACAAACTCGAAATTTCGACATTAACTTCCGATTTGGACTTTTTTTCTCTGAATTCTGAGATTGCATCCCTCAATTCTATTATTTTGTTTTCAACAATAAACAATAAAAAAACGTTGAATGCAGTTTTATAATTCTGACTTTTTTCCTCATGATTGCAAGTTTATATCTCACAATACACACTTTTCTTCTCAAAATTGAAAATAATAACTTGCAAATTCTGAGTTCATAAAAATTGTAAATTGTGAGATATAAACAATTTCGAGAATAAAATAACTAAATGTAAAATATAAGCTCGTAATCAAGAGAAAAAAAGTCAGAATTGTAATGACCTTTTTTGTTTTTATTCTGTGGTGCAAATAAAATAATAGAATTATGTAATGTTCTGTAACCTCTGAATTCAGAGAACAAAAAATCAAGATTATAAGATGTAAACTTACAAGTACAAGTTTATAACTTGTAATTGTGAGATGTAAACTTTTCTGAGAAAAAAAGTTAGAATTGTGATATATAATTTGCGGGAATAATTTGCGAGAAAAAAATGTCTAAATTATGAGATAATAAGTTGCAATTTTAAAAATAGAAGTCCAAATTGTGAGGTATGCATTCACAATTGTGAGGAAAAAATTTCCGAATTTTGGGATAAAACAGAATTACTAGATACTCGCAATTCTATGGAAAAAAAGTCTGAATTGTGAGATAAGAAAGTTGCAGTTAACGTTTTTATTTTTATTTCTGTGGCGGACACTAAAAACAGAATTGCAATATGCAGAGAGAATTTATTAAAAATCAAATTTAAATTAAACAATTAAAAATTGTGAGAGAAAAACAATGCAATTACCGTTTTTATTTTTAATTCCATGGCGGAAACAACAACAACAAAAACAGAATTACAAGATACGAATTCTGAGATAAAAATTCTGAGAAATTCTTTAAAAAATTTGAAATACAAGCTCGCAATCGCAAGAAAAAAGTCTGAATGAAAAAAACAGTTTTTATCATTTCTTCCATGATGGGGGGTGGGGGTTGTGAGATATAAACTCACAATTAACGGTTTTATTTATTTATTTTTATTCTATGGCAGAAACAAGCTTCCTTACATGAAGGCCTTCCTCCTACGTCTCCACATTATCTCTCGTCGTTCTCTTTTCTCTTGACGTTTCTAGTGTTTCTGTATGCAGCTGGAGTTCTTCAAGTTGAATACATTAGATGATAAGCCAAAGCTCTCGCTAACAGGATATTCATATTTGCATAGCCGCACTCTTGTGAAGGTATTCCAGGGATCATGGGAGATGCTGACAGCTCACTGAGAAACTCTCCAAATAATGTGATTAACTCTGAACGTGCCTGTTTATCTCTGAAAAAACATGTTCACACTTGTGTCGATGGGAAGAGCGTTATGCGCAGATGCACAACACTGTTGTAGAAGAGGATTTGTCAAGAAAGATTAATGGAGACAGGATGTCAGCTGGTGAAACAGGAAGTACCGTCAACATTTTGTGACCCTAATTACTCTGGGAAGATGTTATCGTCGTTTTTAGTGTATCTTTGTCCCTCCGACCAGATCTTGATATTAATCATTCTGAGCAAACAGTATCGCACGTCACGGATCAGTGCAGATGGGAAACGTCTACTGAAATTCAGAGCACTTTTGCTTTGGGGAATTACAGCTTGTCTTCTATGGTTTTATCTGTTTATTTGACAGAAATAGTATAGTGACTAAAATTATTCAAAAGAGTCTAGGAGATGTTGCAGGTCAGACTTGAACCACCGTCATCCCAATGAGCACCACAGCTGTGATGTTTTAACTTAAGCTCAGGGCGTTTTTTGGTATTTTCGCCTAAATTTAACATACTCAAATTCAAATGTTTACCCTACACACATACAATGGAGGAAATGAAAAAAAAAATGGTTTCATTGTAAAGAAAACCATTTGAACTACAACATATGAGTGTAATTCTTTGTAAATAACATTATATATTTTTCAAATATTACAATAAACACAAAAAAAAACATAGGCGCTTTTGGAGTTTTAAAACAAATTATTTTTTTGAAATTCTGTAATTCAGGTTCTATTAGGCCCAGCTCTCTGCAATTTACTTTGTTTGATGCCACTAGATATATGTAAATTCGCTCAGAGGTGACAAAATTTTACATCGCGATTCTATCGAAGATAATTCGATCTGTGATTGTCACACAATGAAATAATCTACATCGTCAAATTCCTGAGAATGAGAGCTTTCTTGTGATATATGACTTGACTTTTTTGTGAAAAATATATAAAATACACATTCTTCGTAAAAATTATTCGCAATGGTTAGGCGGAAATTCGTGTGTGGGACAAATACATTTCTAAGCTTAATTTTACTGCTTTATGAATATAAAAAGGAAAAGGAATGGTATTCTTTGTAAAGAAGACACTCCAAGCTTTCAAATGAACCCATATATGGGCTGATACCATATAAGGAAGGCTATGTAAATGAAGCATAAACATTTTTAACGCGATTTTGGACCCGTATCCGGGTCCGCAGAGTTTAACTGGTTTTAATGTAGTTTTTAATTTGATTTCATATATAGTATATTTTCAACAATTTATAAAACTCTCTCTTTATGATATTGTTTTATAAATTGTTGAAATATATTGTGTATATACTTTTTTTAATACTTGTGTGTGTATGTCTGTCTATCTTTCTATCTATCTATCTATCTATCATCTATCTGTCTGTCTGGTCTGTCTGTCTGTCTGTCTGTCTGTCTGTCTGTCTGTCTGTCTGTCTGTCTGTCTGTCTGTCTGTCTGTCTGTCTGTCTATCTGTCTATCTGTCAGTCTGTCTGTCTGTCTGTCTGTCTGTCTGTCTGTCTACAGTTAGGTCCATATATATTTGGACAATGACACAATTTTCATAATTTCGGGTGGCTCTGTATGCCACCAGAATAGAATTAAAATAAAACAAACAAGATGAAATTGAAGTGCAGATTTTAAGCTTTAATTCAAGAGGTTGAACAAAAATATAAGATAAAATGCTTAGGAATTACAACCATTTTATATACAGTCCCCCCTGTATTTTTGTACTGCAGATCAGTACTTTTAAATAGTTTGTTTCAGCGAATCTGTTCAAAATACGAGTCCCCGAGATGCTTTTTAAAAATATTTTATTAAAATTATATGGTAATGTGTTGTTACAGTGCTTCAAAAAAATAAAAAATAAAATAAATAAAAAATATTCTCACATGATAAATATTGATTACATGTAATTAAAAGTAAATGTTTTATAAAATTTAATTTTATATTATTTATTTATAATTCAAAAATCACTATATATTGAGACATTTTGTATGGAAAACAATTATAATATTTTATTTGTATTGTAAAATTGCACTTTTACTGTAAAATGTCTTGCTTTAAACATTTTACTGTACTTGGCAGCAAAGGCTGTTTAATGAAGGATAAAAACCTTGTGGGGGGGGATGGGGGGAGGGGATTACAAATGTAAAATAATTAAAATAAGACAAACATATTGAGAGATGAATAGCAGTGAGTACTGTGGGTAACTCAAGCTGATGTTGTCTTTTCACAGATCTCCTCATTACGCGTGTCCTGAAGTCATCCGGGTGAGTGTTGCCTGACTGTCAGACTTTCTGCTTTGTGGAAGTAAAAAAAAGACAACTCTGAATGTGTGACCTGATCTGGAATCGGAAGGATTGCATTTTGACTTTGTCTTGTCTCTGTTAGGGAGAGAAGTATGACGGAAGGAAAGCAGACGTTTGGAGCTGTGGGGTCATTCTGTTTGCTCTGTTGGTGGTGAGTCACTCCAGACTTTACCTTACAGGAATAGTTCACCCAAATATAACATTTCTGCCAACAATTACTCACCTTCTTGCTGTTCTAAACTCATATGACTACATTTATTCTGAGAAACATTAAATATAAAAAAAAAGTGTTTTAGTGTTTGGAAAAGAGCAGCATGAACATGACAACCAAATATCTCCTTTTGGTAAAGGAAAGTCATGGAGGTTTGACAGAATTTTCATTTTTGCTTGAACTATATCTTGATTATGGCAAATATCTTCTCTTCAGTTCGCTTAAATTGTGTAGAAAGACACAAACAACATTCAAACACATTGTATTATGTTGCTTGTTTTGACAGTGTGATGGATATTAAAGTTAAACTCACGTTTTCAGAATGTTATCAGCCATCCTTTTTTATCAGAAATGGTATTTTGTGGAAATGAACACGCATATTTGAATGAAGGCTGGGAATTGATGTTTCTAAGTCCCAAAGACAATACAATTTGGAGCAAGTATGGGACACACCTCTGCACTGCATTATTAGCTGATTTTATTCGAAATGTTTTACCTGCGCGTCTGTACCGCAGCAGTATCCCCGAGAGTTCCAGCTCATTTGAAATGCTCTTGTTCAATTTTGAGAGTAAAATTGAGACCCTTGAGTCTGAGAGGTTTATCTCTCCACACAGAGCCACTGACCTGCATTTTAAAGCCGAGCTGGATTGTTTTTGACGTTCTAGAAATGATGATGACTGAGTAATTTCTTCAGAGATCATTCAGAGAGCTTCTGTGACTTCAGAACAGACTAGAGCTGCACATTGCATTCAAACAACCACTCAGGAACTTCAGCTCAACATTGCTTTTCTTTTCTTGCATCACCTCATCTTGTCTCTTCTCTTATCTCCTCTTTTGTCTTTTTGTCTCGTCTTATTTCATCTCAATTAGTTTTGTAGGGATCGTGTTATCTCGTCTTTTTCTTGGTCTTGCCATATGGTTTTGTCTCTTATGTTCTCATCTCATGTTATCTCATGTCACCTTGTCTCTAATTTTATTTTGCCTATTGGGTCTTGTGTCATATTGTCTTGTCTCTTCTGTTGTCCTCTCTAATCTCATTTCATCTCATTCCATCTCGATTTCTCTCATCTCACGTCTCCTTATCTCGTCTCATTTTGTCTCTTATTTTGTCTCATCATATTGCATCTCAATATGTCTTGTTTTGTTTGGTCTCGTTCATTGTTTTGTCTCTTCTGTTTTCTTTTCTCATCTCATTGCATCTTATTTTCCGTCTCACGTCACCTCGTCTCGTCTCATTTTTGTGCTTTTTTCACTGTCTCATTTTATTGCATTTTGTCTCATTTCATTTGGTCTCGTCTCATGTTGTTTTGTCTCTTCTGTTTTCCTCTTTCATTCTCATATCTTCACATGTCAGCTTGCATTTTCTATTGTCTTCTTTCATTTTGTCACGTCTTATTCCATTTCATTTTGATCTTGTCCCATGTTGTTTTGTCTCTTTTCTTCCGTTTTCTTCTCTCATCTAATCTCATTTTGTTTCATCTCATGTCACCTTACCTTGTCTCATTTTTATCTATTCTCTTTTTTGATTTTGTCTCAGCTCTTTTTGTCTTTTCTTATTTCACCTCATCTTGTCTTATTTTGTCTCTGCTCTTTTTTCATTTTTTTCTCATTTCAAATATTTTTTTCTTTTAGTTTCTGTCTCATCTCATCTGCATTTCATTTTATCTCAACTCTTGTCACCTTGTTTCATCCTGTCTCATTTTGTCTCTTTTTTTTATTTAGTCTTCTTTTGTTTAGTCTTGTGTCATATTGTTTTGTCTCTTCTGTTTTCCTCTCTCATTTAATATTTCTCTCATCTCGTGTCACCTCTCCTTATCTCAGTTTGTCTATTCTCTTCATTCGTTTTGTCTCATCATATTGCATCTCATCTTGTCTCATTTTGTCTCTGCACTTTTTTCATATTGTCTCATCTAATCTAGTCTCATTTATTGTAATGTCACCTCGTCTAATTTTTGTCTATTCTCTACTTTTATTTTACCTATTGTGTCTTGTCTCATTTGGTCTTGTGTCATATTGTCTTGTCTCTTCTGTTTTCCTCTCTAGTCTCATCTCATTCTATCTCATTTTGTCTCGTTTTGTCTTATTTTGCCTCATCTCATTACATCTCGTTTTGTCATCTGTTTGGTCTTGTTCCATATTGTTTCATCTCTTCTATTTTCCTCTCTCATCTCATTGCTTCTCATTTTCTAATTTTCTCCTTGTCTCGTCTCATTTTTGTCTCTTATTTTGTCTCATTACATTTCTTTTGGCTTGTCTTCTTTCATCTCATCTCATTTTGTCTCTTCTGTTTTTTTTATTTTTTATTTGGCCTCATCTCATTGCATTTCTTTTTGTCTCATCTCTCAGTGTCTTCATATCTCAATGTGTCTTTTGTCTCATCTCATGTTTGCTTCTCTTCTCTTCTCTTCTCTTCTCTTCTCTTCTCTTCTCTTCTCTTCTCTTCTCTTCTCTTCTCTTCTCTTTTCTGCTGAAGTTCATTCGATTGTCCCTTTATGAAATATACATTGACCTGCTGTGGAAAGGCAGACAGCACCAAAACCAAAAATAAAATTGACTTCTGACAGACTCGATGCTGAATGCACAAAATCCTCTCAGATCCAAAATGATTGGAGTGCATTTATGCTCTCGTCCTGTCTCTTTTGTTTTTTGTTATTCCTCTGTTTTGTTTTTCATCAGAAATGAAAATTAAACCTCATCACCCTCAGCTGTAGCATGTCAGCAGTACTGACAGACCCCTTACATAAGAAAAAGCAGTGAAGCGAGAGTTAATTAATGAAAACTTTGCATTTATGGGTCAATCCTCTGAGCACTTTTCTTCTAATTTGTTCTTCTTCTCCAGCCTTATTTACTCAGAATTTCTCCTCAGACTGATGCATTTTCTTTTTGCTGTCTGTGTCTTTCGTTTAGGGGGCTCTGCCGTTTGACGATGATAATTTAAGAAACTTGTTAGAAAAAGTCAAGCTGGGTGTCTTTCACATGCCCCATTTTATCCCACCGGACTGCCAGAACCTTCTGCGAGGAATGATCGAGGTCGACGCCGGCAATCGGTTAACGGTAAGAGAGAACGCACTTGAGAAACAGTTTAGAGAGGAGAAATCAATCTGCATATAAAACATTGGTCACAGATTATTGGTAACTTTCTAAATAATAAAGGTATAGCGAATCTTGATACTGTGACTCAGTGATAAAGAGAAAGAGGAGTTTGATGTGCAGATAGTAAAGCTAGTCGGACAGTTCAAAGGTAGTGTGTTTGTGTGTTTGGAGATCAGCTCAGCATGTCCATGCTATCACTGTGACCTTTCTCTCCTCACAGAGGACGCAGATACTAAACAATAAAAAGCTGCTTTTGACTTGAATAAATGCTCAAATCAGAGTCCTTCTGGAGCTGATATCTGTCAGTTTCTCAGGCGGTGATTCATGTTTTGACGCGAGAGACAAAGGACAGAATATATTCTGAAATACTATAGAACACAGTTGAACCCAAATCAGGAACAAATATAGGGTCAGATTTTTCTCGGTGCAAGAGTCAAGAGAATTCTCTCTGTCTCAGTTTGTCTGTCTTGCTAAATGAATGATCGATCGATCTATCTGTCTGTCTGTCTGTCTGTCTATCATCTATCTATCTATCTATCTATCTATCTATCTATCTATCTATCTATCTGTCGGTCGGTCTACCATCCATCTATCTATCGGTCTATCATCCATCCATCCATCCATCCGTCTGCCTGTCTGCCTGCCTGTCGGTCTATCATCTATCTATCTATCTATCTGTCTGTCTGTCTGTCTGTCTGTCTGTCTGTCTGTCAGTCTGTCTGCCTGTCTGTCTGTCAGTCTATCATCCATCTATCTATCTATCTGTTTGTCTGCCTGTCTGTCTGTTGGTCTATCATCCATCTATCTATCTATCTGTCTGCCTGTCTGCCTGCCTGTCTGTCTGCCTGTCTGTCTGTCGGTCTATCATCTATCTATCTATCTATCTATCTATCTATCTATATGTCTGTCTGTCTGTCTGTCTGCCTGTCTGTCTGCCTGTCAGTCTATCATCCATCTATCTATCTATCTATCTATCTGTCTGCCTGTCTGTCTGTCTGTCTATCTGCCTGTCTGTCTGTCTGTCTGTCTGTCTGTCATCCATCTATCTATCTATCTATCTATCTATCTATCTATCTATCTATCTATATGTCTGTCTGT